TAAGTAAAATGTTTGCGCATCTCACACTTGTTTTGCGCGCGCACTACACTATCTGCAGGTACATGTTTACGGTTGGAAATCAGTATTATTTTTGACAGATAACGGCTAGTTTTTCAGCTGGAAGACATTAACAGTTAGTGGTTAGCGATATGCTGCTATTCTGGTGTTCCTGGTTTAAGTAACTTGATTTAGTCACAGTAGGAAAATTTTGCTTTCATTTAAGTTGTGTACTTGGAAGCATAGTTGATTGCGTCAATGTCAACCCAGCACACACATGGCACTTAAACCATGCCTTGCGTGATGCGCAGAATGTGTGCGTACTAACAAAGCCTGTTAAGCCTGGTTCACACTTGTGGGATAAGCATAGCACTAGTGAGGTAAGCAGGTTCCCACTTGTGAGATAGGACACTGGTGAAGTAAACACAAGCATAAGCACAAGAAAAAGAAACATGTTCCTTTTTCTTGTGCTTGCGCTTATGCTTATTTCACTAGTGTTATGCTCATCTCACGAGTGTGAACCAGGCTTTAGCAGACAGCCATTTGTACACATCACTCGGGTCATGATTAAGGCGATAATTTATATGCTCAATGTCAGTGCTGGCAAGCGTCAGGCTGGTATCATCTGCATACATTCTGGGTTCCGAATATGTCAGACAATGTGGTAAGTCATTTATATATATCAAAAACAGAATAGGTCCCAAAATTGTTCCCTGGGGAACACCACATCTTAGACATTTTGGAGTTGACTTACAGGAATTAATGTGACAAATCTGACAAGTGTGGGCCAGATTTGGACACACTATTTGGCGTAGAAGTTTTTGTAGAGTTCTACGCCTATACGCCTATGGCTCACCCCTAGCCTTCTTTTTTCGCCAGCCTTCTGCGGCATGTTCTTGGCCTATTTTTAATTTTCCCTTGTTTTTTTTCCTAATGTGCATTTGCATTGCCTTGGCAACCAATGTATTATTATTGCCAATTTATTCCACTATGTACAAAATGACACATCCAAACGGGTTCTCGACAACTTTCTCACTTTCTTGTATAATTTTTTCCTCGTAATGCTGCCACATAATGTGCTGCTATTTTTCGGACAATTTAATCCCATTTTGAGGTTTATCTCATCCATCCTTTGAAATTAACACGCTGATGCAGAGGATCGAGAAATTTGATGTATTGATGAAAAAGTTTGAAGAAAACCAGAATAAAGACGATAAATCTCATCCCTGTTTTGTTTCTGACAAAATGGCAAAGGGCAGGGAAACAAAAAAGCACAAAGTTAAAAACAAGAAACATCATGACAGAAGAAAAATAACGAAGAGAGATAAAATCAAAAAATCTGCAAACAACAACCAGAAATACATTAAAAATCTCTCAAATTACGAAACATCAACTGACCAGATAAATCTAGTATCAAAGGGTTTAAAATTCATTCCTACACCAACCATGGGAGAAACTCGCATTAAGCAACAACTCCTACAAAACTTCAAACAATTTGAAAGGCGAATGCGCCTAAAATACATTTTTCATTGCCAAGAAAGAGCCACATCCCTTCTACATTAAATCACACTGGGAACCACCAGTACAACCATCAGTCGCTCTAGAAAATTACCTAGAGGGAGACAAAACAGAGCTCGCAGAAATTAAATTATCAAAGCCAAAACACAACCTGCCACACAAAGAACGTAAAGCTATCAGAGAGCTTAAAACAAATTCTGAAATAAACATTAAAAAGGCAGACAACGGATCAACAACAGTCATAATGAACAAAAAAGATAAGACTGAAGAGGGTCAGGTACAACTAGACGATAAAAATAAGTACCTGCCCCTAGAAACATCTATGGTTAGAGAAACATTCAACAAAGTTCAAGACCTCATGTCAAACGCCAGACCCACCGCGCATACCAGTGTTNAGCCAAAACACAACCTGCCACACAAAGAACGTAAAGCTATCAGAGAGCTTAAAACAAATTCTGAAATAAAAATAAAAAAGGCAGACAAGGGATCAACAACAGTCATAATGAACAAAAAAGATAAGATTGAAGAGAGCCAGGTACAACTAGATGATAAAAATAAGTACCTGCCCCTAGAAACATCTATGGTTAGAGAAACATTCAACAAAGTTCAAGACCCCATCAACGAGCTCCACCGCCATAACTACATCAACGATATGACAAAGAAATGGCTACCGGTATGTCAAACGCCAGACCCACCACGCATACCAGTGTTTTACACACTTACAAAGATTCACAAACCTACACCTGTAGGAAGACCTATAAAATCAGGTTGTGATGGTCCAACAGAACGGATATCATCATTTGTAGACTACATCCTCCAGCCAATAGTAAAATCACAAAAATCGTGTCTCAAGGATACAAAAGACTTCATCAATTTTGTAGAAAAAACGAAAGTCCCACACAACGCAATTATGGTATCACTGGACGTTACCAGCCTGTACACCAACATTCTTCAAGAAGAGGGTATCGAAACTGTATGCAAAGCATACGAAACATTCTATCAAGGAGAAACCCCAATACCAACCAATGCGCTAAGGAAAATGCGTAGACTTATACTTCAGGAGAACTCCTTCCAATTTTGTGGAAGAGACTACCTTCAGACTCACGGCACTGTGATGGGCACTAAAATGGCAGTTGCTTTTGCCAATATCTTTATGTCCGCAGTTGAAACCAAACTCATCAACAAGAGCAAAACGAAACCACTCAAGTGGAAAAGATACATTGATGATATATTTTCTTTGTGGGGTACAACAAAAGAAGAGATTGATCTCTTTATCTTAGAAGCCAACAGGCATCATACTACCATTAAATTCACGGATAATATATCAGAGAAAGATACAAACTTCCTAGACACTACAGTATTTAAAGGCGAAAGATTCTACGAGGAGTCAATCCTAGACATTCGCACACATTTCAAACCTACTGAAACCTTTCAGTACACGTATTTCTCTTCTTGTCACGCCCCCGGTGTGGCGAAGGGCTTCATCAAAGGGGAAGCCCTCAGACTTCGTAGAACCAACTCTTCAAAAGCGCTTTTTGAAGAAAGCATTAATATTTCAAGTCGCGATTACGCGACAGAGGCTATCCAAACAACATAGTTGAAAAGATCCTCACAGAGGTCAAATTCTTAGAGAGAAAATACGCGCTACAGGAAAAACAGAAGGTGCGAAAAATCATACTGCCTTTCGTCAGAAAATACAACCCATTAGTGCAAAATCTCAAAAAGATTTTAATGAGCAAATGGCATATCAATGAGAAACAACCCCTGCTTCGAGAGATTTTTCAGGAACCACCCATTATCTCTTACATAAGAGGCAGATCTCTAAAAGATATACTCGTTAGAGCAAAACTATAAAGGTCAAACTAATTATACAACATCACGAAACCCACAGGAGTCATGCCAGGCCTGTCACACTTTTAACAACAACAGCCAAAAAAAAAGAAAAAAGAGTGCATACTCGTACAAAGGCAAAAAA